ATGTGAACCCCAAAAAGGGGAGCAACCAACTGAGCAACAGAAGAAACGTGCCTAGATGCCCCACAGCCGGAAAGGCCTAGGCCATGAGGGGGCACCTGCTCCCACTGCTCTCCTGGCCAGACAATGGTCACTGTTCACGAGTCTCACACAGGGGTGGCAGAGACCTGGCAATGTGACAGATGTGCTCAAATCCCTAATAACCACCAATGTTCATCTTTATTACAGCTAGTCTGATAAAAATTGAATTTCATCTTTTTCAAGCAATATACAATCTTTATCATGAAAACAGAATCTTAAAATGAAAAGAAATGGTCTTGTTCTTAAGCATTCTTGATTGAACTCTAACTGCAATGTGACAGGATTCTACAACTAGCAAAAACACCCACTCATTGTTGAAGATGTCGTAGTATCCAAAGGCTCAATGACACCTCTCTGTAATCTCCTGTTTTCTACATTCGTATTAACCCTGCTGCTACTTTTCCTCCCCATACATAACTCCTACGAAGAAATTTACTCATAAAGCTCATTCTTCATGGCTTGTCAAAGATTCTTCACTTTTATGTTTGAGAATTTTTTTTTAACTTCAAGGAGACAATTTCAAGAGCAGATAAGCAATAGATTAAGAATACTAAATTACTTATCCAAGAGTGTATTTATATGTATATTTTATATTACAATTTGCTGAAAATCTTTTCTCATTTTTGAAGAGCTTTAGGTAAACTACTAGGAGTTCGAAATTCAACGCTTACAAGGACAAACACATTCTGTTTTGACACCAAACATAACCCAGAAACCATATAACTTTGTAACAATAACCACACCAGTGGACGTTCCCCCAGAAATGACTTTTAAAAAACAAGGTCAAATAAAGCTAACATTGGTGGTTGACAAATATCTGGATAGTTCTGGGAAAGTGCTATACAGCTACAGAGATTTCGCTTATGAAGTGATCCTGGTTTAGAATATTCTCTCTGGCGGAAAAGGAAAGCAAATATAAGTGCCTAGTGAATTTCTGATTGTGTCTAAACCTTTAAGGCAGGCCTTGATCCTATAACTAGCTTTCAGACATAGTAAGGCCAGTAGAACTCCCTAAGTAACAATGAAACTATATTAACACACAGATACAGACACAAAAACCTACAGGACAAGTGCTACAAGCACTTAAGTAAGCAAACGCTTTAAGAGTGGGGAGCTGCTCACTGGCAAATGATCTCAGCCCACTCTTCACTGAAGTCTGATACCTGTGGGCTGTCCTGGCCCCAAAAACCTAGTGTAATGAATGGTGCAATGTTGGCGTGTAACTCAGTCCTATGTATCCCTCTTTCCTTCTTTCTGTAACTATCTCCTTGCCCTAAGGATCCTGGAACTGGTAAAATTGAGAGAAGTTCGCGTAAGCATCACCCATGCCACTGATTCTGGAGATACGTGAGTACTGAAAACCCTGGTTCATTCCTCCTTAAAGTAGATAACACCTTGACTTGTTCAAAGTTTTTCTATACACATGGCTTCCAATTTGATGAACACTTCGGTATTACACTGAACTTGAAGTGTTTTTTGTACAGTTTTCTGTACAACAAAGTCTTTGGCCCTGGAAG